TACGGGGCGTCGCGCTGGGCGCCGCGGGCGGCCGTGCTGTCGGGGCCCGGGCCCACGACGCTCGTGTGCGCCAGCGAAGTGGGCAGCTGGTCGTACTCGCAGCGCCACAGCCGGAGCCTGTGCGTGGCGGACGGCGCGGGCAAGAGCGACCTGATGGTTTTCAGCCCCAACTTCCCTCCGCCGCCGCCCGGCCCCGCGGCCAAGGACACTCAGCCGGAGCCGTCGGCTCTCCTGGGCACGGTCAGTGGTTCTTCTTTTCTCGCTTTGCCCCTTGTCAGCCTCCCCCTGAGCAGCTGCTGCTTGTAGCGATGCTCTCCGCTCCCACGTCCTGTTAGCGATTCCTGCTTCATGGTCGCCTGTCGTCTGATTGCTGGTTATCCATCGTTTTCCTGCTGTGTAATGTGCTATACCGCTTCAGGCTCTTTATGCCGCTCTGGTCTTGTCTCGTCCTCTTACCGTGTTAAGGAGGGAGCCCTACAAAAGACTTAAGTCTTTGTGCCGTCTCTATTTCCGCAACGTTGAACGAAATCCCTTTTTTCCGTCTCACTGCGTCTCGCGAGGCTTGCGTTGCTCTGGCACTGAGAATGGAGTAAATACATATGTAACTTTCTTCTCTCTTACGGAACTTTAGAACCTCCAGTGGCGGTTTCATAATCAGTCGCAGCCTGTCTTGAAGCCACTTTTTTTTTTCTCACCTACTCAGCTTTATTATCCCCTGAATTGAAAATGTTTTGCCATTTTCCTACGTAGGTCTTCAGAGTCGTCAACTCTTTCTGCATTCTTTTTCAGCAGGTCTGTATTTTAACTTTGCTCCCTAGGGTGATATCCCTGTAATATCCGATACATCACTGTCTGTGACTTTCTGAGATCCCCTCCTAAGTGATTAAAGGGAACAATTCCTGATAAAAGTCTCTGCCCAACTGTAGTGTTTACCTTTTCTTGCTGCTGTTATCCGGTTTGGTTTTCCTGCCATCTGTGTAGCTTATCAGAACTCTTAGTGCCTCTTAGCCTTGCTTCATTTTGAATGGAGTATCTTCACTTGCCTACATTTCCCTGCCTTACAGGTGAGGCAATGCTAATGAATTTCTTGCTTTTGACTGCTGCAAATTGCTGATTTCCAGTCTTTACTTAATCAGAAGTCTGTCCTCGTTTTGGATTCGCCTCTGAAACAGAAATTATGTAAATTTCTTGACTTTTCAACTTGCATTGCATATATTAGTTTGGGAAGTACTATAGGATTACTGTGGACAGGAAAAAGACCGATGCCTTTCACGTTTCCTCCTTCTAARTATGATTTAAATGCACTTTCTAGTATAMGGTACTGAATTGCAGAAGAACAGAAACCAAAGTAAACATCAAAATATGCAGCCATAGTACTGAATCGAGCAAGACATACTGATAGAGGACTTGATTTTGSTGGATTAATTGGTATTTGTAGAAGCATCTCAGATTGGTTTCTGACTTGGGACRTCCCATGTATCCAGCAGCTGTGGGCATTGTATTTCTAGGGCGCTGTGAGGTTTTAATATTAATATTTTTTTACTTAATTTAATTTTATTTTTCCCTTCCCTGAGAATATTTTTTTAAAATAAACGGGTTTTTTTTGTGTCTCATTGTGTGTTTGCCTTATGGTGATCATGTGAATACAAACTTGGTGACGCTTGAAACTCTTGATTTCCACAGAGAGTGATGTAGCTTGTTTTCTTCAGGAGATATGTTGGCAATTGTGAGAGAAAGCCATGCTGACAAACAATGCTCTTTGATTTCAGAATGTGTGCCCCTGCCTTCACTGTGRTTCACTGTCTTGTAGTTTCTTAAGGTCAATTTTACTTAGAGAGAATGCTGTGAGACTTCACCTTTCATTTGTTTCTGCCTTCATAGAAATGGAAACAGGAATGCTGGCAGTACAGTAGGGATTTGAGAGGGTGGAGAAAAACCTGTTTGCTTTTGCAGCACTGCTTCTCTGAAATTTTGAACACTGATCCTTGAACACAGGCCTGACAATGGACAACTTGAAACAAATTAAGACAACTGTTTGAATAGCAACAGGTGTAGTTAAAATGATCTATTGAGGCACCTACATTGACTTTTTTAGTGTTTGGTGTGTTCCACTACTTTACCTCCCGATGCATCACTGATTCTTGCTGTGGTAGAACCAGCAACTCAATAAACTGTGAAATTACTTGGTTTCTGTTACTGCCTGGCCTACATGGCAGGGTAGCAGAAGGTGCTGCAGTTATGTAGAGAAGAAGCTCTGACKTTTTTATGTCAGTTGGTGAGGTGGAAGCCTAGGAACATGTTATGAAATGAACTGTGCCTTGACAGAACAGCTGTGCAACCCTTCTGTCTTCAGTTGTGTCATGGGTGGATGACTGTGCTGTGTCTTACAGAAACTCATTTCCATCAGACATGGGTACATTGCTTTTTCCATACTGTGAGTGCCTCCCTGCTTAAAAATGGTAACCAAGAACTTGGTCTTCGTTATGGAGCTACATTTGACGAATAAAAATTATCGGAAATACTTTACTGACACTAAAGATGAGAGAGCTCAGGTTCCTGAGCTGTTTCACCCTTCTCAGTGGATTTCTGCTCTGTTGGTTATCTTTAGAACATTGCGTTAGGGAGTCACYGATGGAATTGAAAGTCATTAGAATTGGGATACGGTGATGTTTTACTCTATTGGAACCATACATCAGAAGGCAAAGCAATTCTGCTATGGATAGACACAGATACTCTTTGTAATATGATGGGTTTTCTGTATTATTTACTCTACAAAACCCAAGGRCAGTGTGTGTGATTGCTCAGCTACATCCCTGTCACAAAGCCGTGGAAAGGTAAGCGACTTCTGTTTCTAGCATTCCTGTACTAGATCCAAACACATCACATGTGAATCTATGTCCTCTGAAGATCTGAGTACTTCCTAAAGATGGAAGATCGAGGATAAAGTCTTCTGTAGAA